TTTTGTCTACAGAAAAAATGGGGTTGGTCCATAGGAGTGAACGAGCAGGTGAAGAAAGCTTTTGTCCACAAGGAAAAAACAAGATTGTTAGACACGGTGTCCAACTGGAAGGACGATTATCTGGTGGACGGTTATGAGCACGGGAAACCCGCTGAGCTCACAACGTTTGTGTGGGATGCCCTCATCCGTTATTGGAACTTGCCATTGTCGATTAGAGTCTCCGACAGCTGCTCCTATTCTCGTGTGACGAAAGATGAGCATGGCAACACGCCGATGCTTCACTCTTCGAGCCAAACACCCCATGACGGTGTCCGTCTAGAGATGGTAAATATATATTTAAATTAATTAAAATTTTCACCATACATATTTTAATTGATTAATATGTTTTAATTGATTATTTTTTTTAAAATATTTTTAGGCCAAAGAGACGAGAGTTCTACCATCGCTTAAGGACTTTTACGAGAGGACCCACAAGAATAAGGCTGGAAAATTTGTAGATTCTAGGTCCGAGCAAATCTACAACGACGTTGCTGGGTTGAAGAGCGCCAAAACCAGCTGACCCAGCAGTCACCCGATGGGATACCCGTCACATTATCCACAGCTGAAATAGATGAGATTTACGAGGAGGTAATTTTTTTATTATTATTCATTTAATATCTAAATTTTATTATTATTCATTTAGTAGCTAACATTATTCTTTATTTTTTTAAAGGTCGTCCTTAAGAAAAAAAGGGCGTAGATTAGGGATCAGTTCCGTTAACGATGTCCCAAGAGCGACATCGGCTTATGCTCAGCGACAAGAAGATGAGACTGCTCAGCTGCGTTCAGAGTTGAACACGACACGTTCTGATTTCAGCACGACACAAGCTCAAATGAGATCACTCGAGGGTTTCCTGAACGTTCTAGCGGCTGGAAGTCCGCAATTGGAGATGATGTTAGCAGCGAGACGGAGACAATTAGGCATTCTAGACCCCAACCGCCAGGACAATATGGACATAACAAACGACGACTTCGAGAACCGCGACCCCTAGCTCTTTTTTTTTTGGTAATATAAATTTAAAACTTATATATTTATAAAATATTTTTGTTTTATTCTATTATTTTAATTTTTTAATAATTAATTTTATATTTTATTATATTTATCAATACAGAAAAAAATAAGTTTCCAAGTAAATTCGTCGTTAAGTTTTCGTGGAATTAATGACGAAAATTAGCGTGGACTTAACAACGAAACTTAACTAGAATTGTACGAGGAAATATTTACGTATTTTTAACGAGGAAACTATTAGCGTGTCTATTACGTGGAATATATAGCGTGACGTTTGCGAGGAAACGTTGGCCCGTCTTTACGAGGAAATATTTCCTCGTAACATTATGAGTTTTTATCGAGGAAATATGTGTTACGACAAACATGTCACAACGTTTTCTGTTTCGTGGTTATTTATTCGTAAAAACTCATTTACGAAGAAATAACTATGAAAACGGCTCTCGCTAAATATTTATTTTCTTGTAGTGTAACTTCAATTTTTTTTATATGGAGAATATGTTTAAAATTTACTTTATATATACATATTTTTGGTTATCATTATCTATGTAATAGATATCTAATGAAATTATTAAGAATTGTATTTTATTTGTAATTATACATTTATATAACATACAAGGATCTTTTAAATCTTTTTTTTTTGTAAGAAATTCAGTTAAAACGTGAAATAATTTACCAGATTTTTAATTGAAAATCTTAAATATGCCTGTTTTCTAAAATTAATTTTATTTATTTTAAATTATAATTTATATAATTTTGTATATTATTATTTATATAATACATATGTGATAAAATAACTAACCACTAATTGTATGTTTATTATTATTTATAAATATAAAGGGAAAATTTTTAATCTATCTCGTAAAATATTTATTAATTAAATGCAAAAGATTAAAGTCACAAGATACTTTATGACACAAAGCCAAAAATTGATGGTACATTTTTCTTAAATGTATATTTGTTATAATCCTATTGGTAAGTATAATTTGTTTGGTTATTTAAGTAAGATAGTTCTTGATTTATTATTTTTAAAATACATTAAATTAATTTAAATTAAAAAAAATATTAATCAGTTAAATTATATAATTAATTGAAGAGTTATTTTATGATTGACAAATCAGAAAAAACACTTAAGTGACTTCTCAATTAATATATATTAGAATATGATCTTTTAAATATAAAAAAAAATACTTTAATCATTTATAAAAGTGATAACTCAACTATAATATTACATTGTCAATTACAATGATTGAAATTTTTAAAATTACATGTTTTGCATTCATTTGATATATTTTTATAATATATGTATAAAATGAGTAGAAATGTTATTATATTTCTATTTATTAGTTTTCTACAATCTATGATTTATTGTATCCACTATAAATATACTATTTTAAAAATAGTTTATTTAATTGTCTATGTAGTATCATATGTATTTATATTTATATTATAAATTTATATAATGTTCTATGATAATGAATTTTTCAACAAAAAAATTATGTTAATTCATTTAAATTTAAGATGTTTGATTGTTTATTTAGCAATATAGACTAAATTAGGTAATTCTATGATAAGTTTCATTTTAAAAACTTGATTTAAATAAATGAAAAATTCAAATATCAATAACCAATCAAATTAAAAGAATTAATTCTAAATTTCACCTATGAATGATGTATAATTTGTATGCTCTCATTAATTATAGAAACAATATGTTATAAGAGAGTATGATGTATAAGTTGTATGTTCTCATTAAATTATTTAATAAAATGATTAGTAGAGCAGTAGAAACATGTTATTTAAAATCATCATAAAAATTAGCATATATAATACTATAAATTTATTTTAAACCATATATAAATTTATTAATATCGAACCAATATATATATATATATATATTAATATGTAAATTATGAAAAAATATATAATTAGTTTATTTTATTTAATAATATCTGAAAATTAGATATCTAAAAAAGTTTTAAAAATAAAATTTACAAAATTTTTTTTTTTAAAAAATATAATATTTCAAATTCAAAATACCGTTGAATTAAATTATATTTTAAATGTAAATTTTTTCTTAAAAGTATATATTTTAATTTAAAATTTATTTTAAAAATAGAAAACTTAATTTTAGGATATAAACATAATTTATGATTTTATTAAATAAAATTAATAAATTAAATATTTTTCTCTTAATTTTATAACTTTTTTAAACGTAAATGCTCTGTCAAAACTTTATTTTAGAGTATTAAGTAAAAGACATTTGGAGAACATTAATATTTGTTACATGTTTTTCTTAAATTTGTTTCTAACAAATGTTGATATAAGGAGTATGATGTGTATGCTAAATGTCTTCCCATCGATACTACATATATCCATCTGTCTTGTCACTCTTTATTTAAAGTTCCTCATAATGAGCTTGAACAAATGAAAGCCCAAGTAAGAGTTGTTTAAAAAATCTATATTATAATAATATACTTTCTATGCTCCACAACGCGCCACGTCAGCAGTTTTGTGGGTCCCATTGGTATTTTTTAAAAACTTATAGTCTTGGTAAGATGATTACAAACAATGAAATAAACTTTAGCCAAGTAGTATAAGGTGTCTAATTAAGTATGCAAGATCGTGGATTCAAACCACGCAGCCATCATTTATTTTTAATTTTGTTTATTTGGGTTATTATCATATGGACTTTTTGTTTATAAGGTTTTTATGTTATTTTAATGACTTATTGTTTTAAAAATCAAAATAGTTGGATAAACCCTAAAGCTTAACGAGTTCAAACTAAAATTAGTTAAAAATGGATGCAAAAATGAACAATAAAAAAACAAAAAAAAAAGTCTCACGCGGTTGCCTACGCGGATGGCTTAAAGAGCCTTAAAACTATCCTATTATAAGTTCAAAAAAAAAAAAAAAAAAAAACTATCCTATTATAATATAGTTCAACCCAAAAATAATAAAAAATGAATCCAAAAACGAACCAACCAAAAAAAAAGAAAAGTGAATCCCACGCGGCTACCTACGTGGATGGCTTAATGAGACTTGAATGATATAGATTAAGAGCTAAAAAAGTGAAATCATTGCACATATTTCCTAATATATATTTTCAAAAAATTTGTATGTGAGATAAAATAAAAAAACAACAAAAATTAATTATTTTCGCTATTTATTTAATGAATATGTAATTTCTCTTACATTTTAATAACTACTATAATTTCATTGAAAACATTCCTCACCACCGATTTCAGACTCCGGCGAATGGATTCCCACAGTCGATGACGCCGTAAATAAAAATGCCACATCATTTATGAACAAAACTCAAACTTACAAAAGAACATATATAAAAACCTATCTAATGAAACTTAAACAACAAATGTTAACTTAATTAAGGTTATTTTCAAATTGATAAATCGTTTAATACAAATATAAATACTATAAATATAGAATTATATCAAGTTTTGACATACGATATAAAAACTATTTACAGCAAAAAAAAAAAAAATAGACACGTACTTTTACACACTGAAAACTATATTATAACCTAACTGTTCCTATAAACCTTACTTCGCATATAAATAACATTTAACATATTAGATATAAAATATTTTCACTTTACACTCTTACTACATTCTTTCCATTTCATTAATATTTGGTGTCATTAGAACAATCCACTAAAACACTAAATCGAAAAAATTTACGCAAACATAATGATTCCGGCCCCGCGCTTGCGCGGAGAGTATGCAACTAGTAAAAATAATAAATAACTATGTCTCGTTGGACCAAAAGCTGTCCTATGCGAGACACGACGTCGATAATACAAAGAAGAAGTAACATGGATCGGAAAGAAGAGAAGAGAGAAAGAGGCAGTAGACGACGGAGAAACGATGGCGGTGGAAGACACTCTCAAGCCTGACGTTGTTCCTCTTCCTACAAAAGAATCGAACCCTAAATCTTTTAGAGCATCCTATCGATCAATACAATGAGGAAGGTGATGACGCTGAGGATGGAGAGATCGTCGGCGGAGACGAACCGGGAAAATCAGCGGTTACTGAATCGCATCCGTTGGAGAATCCATGGACTTTCTGGTTCGATAATCCTTCTGTCAAATCGAAGCAAACTACTTGGGGAAGTTCCTTACGATCCGTCTTCACATTCTCCACCGTCGACGAGTTCTGGAGGGGTTTTAGCCTTTACTTACATTCATCATTTTTTTATTTGTTAGATCCTATGATGATAATGGTGTCGAAGGAGATATGATGAGCAAATAAGTTTATTGGTGATTGCTAGAATGGAACCCGTCTAGCGGAATGCTACTAGACACTCCTTTACAACTAGGCCAACACCTACGTTGGTCATGTGTTGTTGTTTTCATCTCTTCATGAGATTAATAAGTTTGCATTATCGTTTCTATTGACTTTTTTGTTATATAAGAGGGTTTTATCATCTGGTTGCACAACAGTCTTTATAATAACATGAAGCATCCGAGCAAGTTATCTCACGGCGCTGACTTCTACTGTTTCAAACACAATATCGAACCTAAGTGGGAGGATCCTATCTGTGCTAACGGTGGCAAGTGGACTATGAACTTCCCTAACGAGAAGTCTGATAAGTCCTGGCTTTACACCGTATGTATTCTTCTTTATACTTGATGACCCATGATTCCTGACACATCTCATGGGATTTTTGTTTTTCACTCTCTGCTGCTTGGTCTAGTTGGTTGCATTGATTGGAGAGCAGTTTGACCATGGTGATGAAATCTGTGGACCTGTTGTTAACATTAGAGGCAAGCAAGAAAGGATATCTATTTGGACCAAAAATGCTTCCAACGAAGCTGCTCAGGTAAACCACACAAACAATAAAAAAACATCAATCTGTCTGTCTCTGCTATCAAAACAAAAGACATGGAAAATTCTGATACCTTCAATGGACCAGGTGAGCATTGGGAGACAATGGAAGGAGTTTCTTGATTACAACAATAGCATTGGTTTCATTATCGATGTAAGAAAAGAGCTTCTCTTGCATATGCTCATTCAAAAAAATTTTTTTTCTCAGTTCTCACTATTTGTTTATTCTTCTATTGGTTTGTTTTTTTCCTTCAGGAGGATGCGAAGAAGATGGACAGGAACGCCAAGAGCGCTTACACCGCTTGAAACCCTCTCACCGTTTTCAATTACAGTTTTGTATGTGAGAGATCTCTACTTATATCATCAAAACATGACTTACACTGTCTTTGTTCTTGAGTGTTATCTCTTCACAAGTCCAGCAAATAGTTTTTCTAAATGTGATGGTGCCCTTGTATAGACTTGTGTCTACATTAATTTTCATCTCAAGACACACCTTAAGCTACAAAACCACTCTAGACTCTGGCCTTAATATCCACTAGGTTTTGACCCGCGCGCCCGCGCGGGTGTATGTTCTCGATGCAATAATATTTTGTTCTTGTTTGAAAAGTTTAGATTCTATTGTTTTGATGTTATTCAATTTATATGTAGAATAACATGATATAATTCTACATTTTAACGTTCTGCTTTAAAAGGGCGGATTTGTTTCCTTTGTCAATTTTTTTTTTTTTAAATTGTACGGGTCACATATAATGTAGAGATAATTGGCTAAAGTGCCCTATTTGGTACCTATAATTAGAGAATTGCCCATGATGTGACAATCACTTTTCTTTGGACCATTTTGCCCTTCTCTACACTCTCTCTCCTCTCTTTGACATCTCCCCTTTTTTTTCTCTTCAATCCCTAATTATTTTACAAATCTCTATCATTCTATATACAATTAAATTTTAAATTTCATTATTTTTTCATAAGTGGCTTTGAATCCTCAATTTTGACC